TATATATTATATTGATATAGTATATTTATGTATATATATTATATTAACTATATCAAAATATGTAATAAGATATAAATATATTTTTAAGTAATTTATAGTCGTTGTACAGATAATTAGTCAATTCTATAATTTTAGCTATTTTATTTTTTCGTTACATGTCTTATGCCCACAAATATCTTTTTTTTTAAATGCAGATAAAAAAATATATCTCAAATACATGTCAAAGATATAAGTACGACGAAATATAGTATTTCATGTTACATTACACTCGATATTTTATTAAATAGTATGTTATAATAGCAGGCTATATCGAAAAAATACTCTTTCTGATAACTAAGAGATTGAGTTGTACACAAAGATATACAAAAAGTTCTATAAAATTGTTTCATCAAAATAAGTAGTATCAATGCACAACACGTGCGGAAAAAGTAAAATATATTAGTTAGAATGTTTCTTTTGAAAACACTAATTTTTACTTTATTTAATTTAATTAGATTTTATTTGATTTAATAAAGACTTGACAAAAGTAAACAATTAATTGTTTTGTGAAATAATATTTATAGTACAACTTCCTCTGACGAAAGCTACTTAATTTAAAAATTTTTCTATTACTGCGTAAAAATTGTGTCGCTCTCTTGCAATACTTCTTTATCACGAAACGCAGTGTCAAATACCTCTTGATGACTGTATGATAAATCTTATCAATTAATATGTTACTCATCTTCAGTAATTTGGTGCGTGTTTTCTTTTCACTATGCCAATCGTAAAAGTCAATTAATTCATATTCATCTATTTCGTATTCGTTGTCGTCGTTGTCGTCGTTGTCGTTGTTGTCATCGAATCCGAGCTCATTGTTTTCTTGAATTTCGTTATCAGTATAAATGATGAAATCATCCCTAATACCATTCTCTATTTTTCCACTAAGAAATAAATCGCGCAAACGTATCATCCTTTTATATTGAAATTGCACCTACACGTGAGATAACATAACGTGTTAATTGCGAAGAACTTAATATTTAAGAAAAAAAGTAAAATGTACTGTAAAAAACATTGTAACTTTAACTATGGGGTATATACTATATGTGTAATCATATCATATGATTATATCATATACTCAAATTGATAGAGAATTCTCAAACTATTTTTTAAGTATTTTTTTTCTTAAATGTGATTAAAAATTTACAAGAAAGTAAAATAAAAATATTTTAAAAAATTATATGTACCAGGATTAGAATTGGTTTTTATATGTATATATATATAACATTATAAGATTTCTCATGTTCTTTTGATTCTAATAAAATAATTGTATATATATATTTTCGTTTGACTCTTACAATGCCATTTCCACGTTTATAATGTTTTTAAAGAAAGAGTCCTTTATTTGTTCTATTTTTGTGTATATATATATATCTTATAATGCTGCGCCTTTTATTATATCTTATATATTTCTTTCATATTTATTGTTAGAAAAAGAAATAGATCTCTGCCACGTTCACCTACCGATGGTGTTATGTACGTACACTAAGAAAAAAATGCTATTGCGTCAATTAAAATCTATATTACGAGCTACCACTAACATAAATAATTAATTCATGTATATTTTTATTGATACAAAGACCTTGATTATTAAAACAATAATTAAATACATTAATTAATTACTTATGTTAGTGGCAGAACGTGATATAGATTTTAATTGTTATAGATTTTAATTTCTTTCTCAGTGTACTTGCAAGCAAAATTAGTATTTCATTTTTGTTTCCAACATTACTATCATAATAATGTGCAATGTTGGCAATGCATTTTTATTAACTTTATTGGCGTGCATTGTTAATATACCGAGTAAATTTTGCTATTTTTTAAAATTTTATAATTAATATTGACAGAGTCAATATTTGGCTATAAAGTGTAAAAAGATCAAAATTAATTCGATATATCCACAATACATGTCAATGTACAACGAACATTTTACACGTTCGCTACCATACATATACCATATGTGGATTTATTATGCTATCGTCTATATATATGACACACTAGTTTGTTTCGAGAGCTCAGCAATACATGTGCATCGATAATTTACCGATTTATAATCATGTAAAGAAATTTCACACATGGTGTAAAAGTATTGCAAGAAAAACTTGAGTTGAAGTCGATTTTTTCAAACCATAGTAGTGAACATTTTAACGAATGTATCAACAATGAATTGTGCAACTATGGGAAATGTAGCTGTAGATCGACGTATAGAAATACAATACGTCTTTATCAAATTTAAAAACAATCCTTTAAAATTATAAATGTTAAAAAATTTGTAATTTTAAAATAAATATATTCTTGTAATTTTTTCTTTTTCTAAGTTGCAATATCTTTCAAAGAGACTACACAAATTTGAATTCCTTTGTCTTACCTTTTCGAAGACGTTTAAAGTTTTTAGTAAAACCATTTTTTTTGTGCTGTTTGGTGTGATCCAACTTATCAAATTATTTACCATATCGAGGTATATTGTACCCTCATGTACAAAACGGTTGATATCTATTTTATCAGGTAACTAATGCAAAACGCACAAATATTAAACAAATATGCCACTTCTATTTGCTGTTTACACTGTAATACTCACGTAAAGATTTTTATTCTTCTCGATTTTGTAATCCTGAGATTGTTCCATCTCTAGGAGTATTAATATGCTTAAATAAAACAAATAACGTATATCGTTAGAGTCTCTTACATTATTTTTAACAATAATTATTAAATTTTAATAAAAAAATTATAATTTAAATAGATATTATATCAAAATAAATCTCACTCTCTCGAAGTTATTTATACAAAATTAATGCTTGAACATTTCAATTTTTTAAATTAATTTTATAATAATTTGTAAATATATAATAAAAATTTATAAATATCTCACATATATTCTATATAACTTTTTTCCAATGAACATATAATTCTACATCAATTTACTTAAAAAATATTATTCTGTTGTAAATTTATCTAAATTTACACGATTTATTTATTACATAGACTAGCAAGTTTTAATATTGAATATTATATAGTAATACAAACCTTCTTAGATTAGCATGAGTTTCGCGCGATCGTTCAACTTCAATCATTGTGTTCAACCGCGAGCTTAAAATATAGATCATTATTATGTTTTAAAAACTAAAGAAACGCGAAATAATCATTACTCGTACGTATACAGACATGTAATGACATGTAACGGTGTAATGATATAAACAGATTTTTCAAACAGATTAATATTAAACAGTTGTAACAACGTGATGACGTTTATAAATCGTCTTGTGTATCACGCGACTCAAAGCATAACACGGTAAGTATTTAACTTTATCATTTCATCTTCATATTTACCCATCCGAAAGGTCACAATTGTAAAGAATATTTGGTAAGAAAGACTCTTTCCTCTTTTTCAAATTTTCTCCTATGTTTATATGAAATACGCGTTGAGATTCAACTGTCCAATAAATATGACTCGACAAAAAATTTGCCAAAAATGATTTAGAAGAGAACGCGGCGCGAGTCCAATCATTAGTACTAAAGACGGAAATTAAATGAAAAATGAATTAATATAAATTTTCATGCTTAAACAATAAACATATATTGCAAAAATCGATTATAATAAATATTAAATATAAATATAAATATTAATTAGTTATATAAATATATATTCCATAAATCTTTTGTATATTTGTACTAAATGTTATATGAAAGAGTGCCATCGTTAATTACTAGAGTTTCCACTTTTTTTTAATTTTCTTCACGTATTCTGCGTCCACGTATTTTGCGACGTACTCCTGCTCCTAGATAGGTACGGACATGAAATACGTCAAATAGAGTACACATTGAAACTTGGTAACTCAAAATATTTAGATATTCGCATTTGTAGATATTTATTTATAGAGATTTATTTAGATATCCGCAAAAATATATATTTGTTTTTAGGAAAATTTTTTTTCAGAATAAATTAATTCTAAAAATAAATTAAATAAAATAATTTTAAAGAAAGTTCGTTAACAAGAAATTGCTCAAGATCGACTATTTTATTTTAGAATTATCACGGCGTTTATGGATAAATCAGAGCACGTTATATGTTTCAACTTATTAGTTTATCAATTTATTAATTTTGCTTATTTTAAACAACTTGTAACAAGTAGATTAGGAAATGTACCTGATTAATACGCGCCAGCAATTGTTTTAGTAAATCATATTTGTGACAATCATTTTGCAATGATCTCTTCTGCCTCAATTTCGTGATCATCGTATTGTGCAAAAATAATTTCACTCTTTTGCAATAAATCTTCAATGTGAAGTACAATACAATGTACAATGCTGAGTTGTTTCTGGTGAACGAAACACACAAATTTTTTATTTGTATAATTAGCAATTCAATTTCCAACAAGAACTTGTGATAATGTATTTTATTTTTACATCCAAGATGAATTAGATATTGCATGTGTATATATTGTCTATCATTGAACTCATCGGAATCGGATTCAACAGTCTCAAACTCTGAGTCGCTAATGTAGCTAATGTCGCTATGTTCAGGTGTTGTATTGAAGTCATCGCTACTTAGAGGTGTTGTATCGAAGTCATCGTAGTTATTCGAGTCGTAGTCATTCGAGTCGTAGGAGAAACTTTCAGACTCATTCATCCTGTACTCCTCACTGAACCATTTCTGATCTAGCAGACGCATCTTGCTGTACATCTGTGTACGATATTATGTTATTGCATTGTAATTATTAAATGAGAAAAATTTGGGCGCGGCACAAAACTTTCAATAAGTAATAAAAAGTTTTCGAAGTAATAATAAATAATAAAATTGTAGCTTTACGGAAAATTAATTTATACGATAGTGTTTATTTATCCAGCAAAACACTTGGATTAGAGTCATACTTTTTAAGAATGCAGTTCTTAATATACCGTTAGAGTGTAAAAATATTAAAAAATGCGATTACATAATATTGTATAATTTTTATATTGAAGAAGAATTATCCAAATTAAAAATTATAAATTAAGATTTCTGCAGTTTGATAATGCGTGCATTTTTATTTTAATTTCTTTCTTTTTTATTCGGAAAAGGGAGGAGACTTTATGTCACCTTGGTATAAATATCCATAGTTCTTAACATAATTGTAAATATTGCGGACATCTTCTGATTGCATTCGTGCAAATTATTTATTATATTCAGATAAATTTGGCCTTCGCTTAGAAAATGTCCAACATCCGTTGTTCGATATGATAACTAATTACAATAACATAAAAAAAATTATCATAAAATGTTTGCAGGCATTTTTTAATTTGTTATTTTATTACTTGTCAAACTCTTTGTAACGTACTCACGCAATATTTTATACTCTTTACAATTTTATCAATTTGATCCATTTCCATTTCTATAAGCTTCGAAATCCTTGAATAAAATGTATATGTTATGTCGTAATGTATTTAAAATACACGATTTTCAATTGTATGAAATATATTAAAAAAGAAATTACATATTTCTCTTTCAAAAATATTTTGATGAAATTAAACCGATTTCTTTATTCTTACTGTATTCATTGTCACTTTTTAACGTTTCTTTTATCAATTTTTATACTCTCTATTTTAAAAAGAAAGAAGGTAAATAAATTTACTAAATTAAAATAAAAAAACTTAATTTATATCAAAATTTATGCAAATATGTATAGATAAATGTTTTAATTAATGTACATTAATTAAATTAAATCTGTCAATTTTTTTTGTTCATAGAAATAATATATTTTGATAATATAGAGTATTATAAACTAGAGTATTATGGCCATATGGAAAAGATTTCCATAGGCTATAATTTCTTCAATAATTACTAAATCAGAGCATTTTTGTAATCATTCTAAAAGCCTATGATCATCTTTTCCGCGTATGGCCGTTTTATCTGAGTTAACCTACTTTTATGTGGCCTGTATATATAAAATTTCGATTTTATAAATATCTTTTATTTTATACAACCAATTAGAATTGAATGAAAAATCTAGAGTATATTGTAAAATATAATTGATTTAATCGAATGGTAGAGACAAACCTTTGCGAATGAAAATAAATATGATGCTGTAATAGAAATCGAACCCCTCGTATGGCATACACAACACTGATAACACATGAATACTTCTGGGATCTAAATAAATGCAAAATAGTAATCACAGATATGGTGGCGCGACATATGTGGATGTGTATAGGCTCTCAAGTGAGAACTTGGAATGTAACAGCAACACGGATAGATTACTTCTAAAATCAACATGTCGTGTCGCACGTCGTCCTAGAATCGATTTGGAATGTTTATCTCTATTTAAACTATGTTTACCTGAAAATCGTAATTCAGCGCGGCGATGATTTCGAGTTCGCGAAATATAACAGCAGCGCTTTCCTTTGAAATATTAATGTTTAAAGATTTTATCGTCCGTATAGATCGGTTTTCCAAAGTCTATCTTCTATAAAACTATTAGTTTTTTTTTTAATTGTGACGTTAATCACATTTGTTCTCATAATTAGTGCGTATAGTGGTAAATAAAATATTTATTTAAAATGTTTACTTTTTTACATATGTGTATTTCGATTTTTTTTCGACGTTGATATTTTTATATTACAATTTTTCATCTTTGTAAATGTGTGATTTTTAAATCATCATTTAGTTTTTCTGCAAACTCTCTTATAATTCAATACATAATAATTAGTTATGCAATATGAATAAATAAATGAAAATAATTTTATATTTATTCTGTCAATCTCATCAATATTAACAGATAGTGATGTAAGAATAAAAAGAATATTAATAGACACTTGATATGAAAATTGCAAAATGCATCCATAAAATTAACTTGCATCACCATGACATAGTTAAATTAATGACGACAAAGCAGCATCTGGTTGAGACAACATAGTTATCACGTTATTGTACGCTTCTTTCAAGTTTTCCGTTTTAACTTCTTTCGCAAGCAATCTAGAATGATTAGAAAAAGTCTAAATTTCGTAAGATTTTAACCACGTTGACAATTTTTTTTTTACTGTTGTTAAATACAGAAGACATACGGTGGAAAAAATGATTAAATATCACATATATGTGAAATGGTTGCAAAAAATACATGTCTTACAATTCCTCGTAGTTAATTTTTAATAAAAATTTAATTAAAATACGTAAATTTAAATTAAAATTCTAATCAAATATGCAAAATATTAAGAAAACGAACTTGTCGTATAATTGTTTGACGACGTTTACCAATACTCGCGCCTGGGTAACATTGAAAAGTGTTAATTCCGAAATGAAACCCTGCAAAAAGTTTATGACGTCTCGGCTGATCTGCTCGAGTCTAGATTTTGAGATATTCGGTAGTGCCTCTTGATGTAAAAACATATCATTTAACTCTAATTCCTTCTTCAATGTGTTTACTTGCTCCTGTAATTGCTGAACGATCAATTCTGATCCCGGCCGGATGTGGCGTATCGTTTTGATCGGTTTCAATTTTGCGATTTTAGCAGTCAATCGCATAGTCGATAAAGTACCTTCGAGATCTTCTCTCGTAATGCGCACGTGAGATATGAAGCTAATAAATGAAAGAAATGTCTAAATTTTAATTAATCAAATATAACGTCGTGAATCTGTATATCAACTTTAAGTCAAGTTAGAAATTTAATAAAAAATTAATAATTAATAAAAAATATAAAGTTCGAGTAAAATATATAGAGAATTACAAAATATAGAGTTTATATCTTTATTATTTTTATTAAATATTATAGAATCATGTTTTTATCCAATACTCAATTTGTTTTTATGTTTATATTCATTTATATTTATATAAATGTATTATATAGATATTTATATATATGGAGAAAAATGATAAATTTATTGTAGTTTAGATTAACATAAGAAAATTTGCGCTATTTCTGTTTCGAATTTGTATTCATTATGTAATTACCGAATAATGGATGTGACAGTGAAAGCATCTTTCAGTAGCTTCAATAAATTACTTGAGCGAATAACGCTATATGTGCACATACTTGGTTTTCTAACATGTAGAAAATATTGTTCCAGCTGTATTTTCATTAAATTCGCCATACCTAAATCGGCTGCTGTTTTCCAGCAACTTGATTTTCCCACCGTACCAGTTCCAGCCATCTCTACGATATGTATCTAATATCGATCCATAAAAACAAACTCGTAATTTTTTCTTTTGAGATACCTCTTAATCAAGGTAATTTCTTCGAAAATTTAGTTACATATATCATGAATATTTATTATTTAAAATAATTAAGTATATTTAAACATTTAATTTATATATTTTAAATAATGATTCTCTATTTAAATGTTATACCTAATGTTTAAATATAATATTTTAGAAAATTTAACATTTTAATGAAACAATACAAAAAGTTCTTTCTAGTAATCTACAAATTGTTGTATGAAAATCTTGAAATATAGGAAATTTCAAAATTTATTTTTAAAGATTTATTTTTAAATTCGCAATTACTTTTGCTGTCGCTACGATAGCTTGCGATTTTATCAAGCTCATATTTGAAACGTGAATAGTGATCACAGCAGCACCTAAATGTGATACCGGATACACTGTGCTTTTCACAATCGATCTCCTGTCTTCTCCTTCGAGTACTTTCTTTAAAATCTCTTTTTCATTCTCTACATCTAATATAATTACGTTCTGAAACAGTAATTGTGTTGATTGCGACACATACGACCAGAACAAAAGTTAACACACTCTAAATAAATATAAGAATTTTGGGAAATTGCATTTTTTTAATACAACGTTATTCCTCACCAACGTAAAAGCTATTCGAAAATTTATCGCAAGGACACAAATACATTTCTGCTAACAAAATATAGAATTTTCATCACGATACCTTAAAGACGCCGCGTTCGTTGACATTAAAAATCTTTCGTCTTTTAGACAGAAGATCGATTACGTTTTTACCTCTCAGCTCGATGAAACTTAAGCGATAACGTATGTCGCTGATTTTTCTTCGGTTCGCCTTTTCCGTAAGCATGTCGGATAAAAGTCGTGGGACTATTCCTCTATGCTAAATCGATACAGTAAAACGATCAAAATAATTGATTGAACTATAATTGAAATAAAATAATGTAAGATATAAAAATGTACCTCCCAATTATTTCTGAGACCACTAATCGTGAAACTTTTTCCGGATCCTGTTTGTCCATAGCTGATTAGTACGCAATTTACGCCGTCCAAAGCTCTTAAATTATTTCTTTGTTGCATATGTCATACACGTTTTATTATTTTTATAGACGTTGCATGATATTCCATATCTTATCAGCGATATCGATAAATAATATTAATTATCGATTATTATTATCCTATAATGTGGCTGTGCATACTTTCTAATAAATATATAAAATCATGCTAATCCTCAATAATCTAAATGTTTCCAGTACAATTAAAGAACATTTTTTATATCCTCTATTTTGTTAAGAAAATATTGTCAATTTAACATACTCTCTTATTACTCTATCCTCATACACGTTATTAATGTCAAATCGCGTGTGGCAAACGTTAAATGTACTTTTAAAAATTAATTTAATAATTTTGCTATACATTTTTAGCGATGTTAGATTAATACAAATTAATTTACTTTTCCCAGATTAAACAATATCAAGTTAATTAATTATTATATCGCTAACGCATTATGGATATATCATCATGGCAACCTTAAATATTAATCAATACTTTTCTACGAGATCTTTCGCAGAAGCGCAATACACCTTATCCTGGGACATCTCATGAAATACCTCATCAATACGAAAGGCCCAATAAATAGAATGTTTCGACTGTTTGTCTCGTTGCATATCTTGCAAACATCTTACGTATATCGTCTAAATGATATATAATATAATAATTTAATTAATTATAATGAGTTAATTGCCAAAACATATCAAAATGAATCACGAGACATCTCAATAAACAATAATAATAGCAATAAGAAGATAGCAAATTTCGTGAGAATACATCCCACGGTGGTAAGATCTTTTCTCAGCTATCGAAATAGTCTTGATAAAGAGATTTCTATTAATCTCACCTTACCATCCGTACTGATCTTCGCGCAAGAATCGCACGGTTTTTCAAGTGGTAGAATTCGCACGAAAACCTTTACATTATTGTCATACACCTCATCAACAGATTCGTTGTTCGATATAAAAAGGTTCGTTTGATGCATCCTCTTATTTTCAACATTCTCTCAATATCGTGGATAATTACAAGATGGCAAGGTTAATCTATTCTGTACACTCTAATTATAGTGCTGAAATTGCCTAGATTCAATTTTTATCATTTCAAAGTATCGCATATAAAAAAGAAGTAAAACAGCTTCACGCGAGCGCGAAATTATGTGAAAATTATTTACGGAAATTAAATACATCGTTGTGAGTATGAATTTACAAAACCCTTTATTTCATAGCGTTTGTGTATATAAATTATCCATAATTAAAACTTCAATTTTAGCAAAGGGAAACTCTGAAAGGAAAAAAGAACTGAATGTCCGACGACGCTACAAAGTCACAACGTCACTTTTACATACATAATACGATTATTATTATGCGTATATGACATACATACAAGTGTTACAAAATAATTGCTTATGAAAAGTACGTCGAACATCATCACTGCAAATTAAATAACTCGACTTAACTAAGAATACAGAAAAAAATCTATTGATCCACACAAAATCGGAGAGGTAATCGTGCTGCTGATTTCGAGTAACAAAAAAATGTATAATTTCTAACGTGCATTTCATTTTATCTAAACGTATGAATAGGGCTTATCTAAATCACTAACAAGAGTGACGTATTTTTAATCTGTTTCACATTAAATTAATATTTTTTTCTAAACGCAAAACTCAAAAGATTATGTCGCGATGTCGCTTGTGCACATTTCTTACAAATTAATGATTCCTAGATATATATATCACTCGAACTTTTTCCTCATAAAGTACAAAATCGTGAGCGCAAGAGCGTTCATAAATTCCTATTGATGAAAGAAAGTTACGTATGTACCTCGTGTTTTACACACAAACTCGAGCCTTCTTGAAACACATGCAAAAGATAAAAAAATATTATTTCTGCAACATATGGTCACAGATACAGTCGGTAATCACGAAGCATTAAATATTTATTTGCAAAGATAAAATTCATCAGTTTCAAATTGATTCAATGAAAAATGATTTAATTTTTCGAGAATATAACGAAAAGACTTGTAAAATTTTCTTTTTCCGATATTGTTAAAACCTATTCTTGTAAGTATCATACAAAAATCTTACAAGATTCTTGCAAACTCTTTAAAAGTTGAATTTCGACAATTTCGTTCGCCTCAGATCTTATGTACCGAAAACGTGGAAACATTCGATGATCACGTCATGGCCGGGCCAAACGCTTTAAATCGAAGACGTAGACGACAAAACACATTTTGTTAGCGTGTGAAATTCGTATGTGAATTTATTATAAGGAAATTACAAAACCGCAGATTAAGATATCGTACAAAAGCTCCACTTCAAAACAATGTCTCGTCGTTCGCAAACAAGTCTGCTCGCATATGGTCCCTCCCTCCGGCTACTGCTCGTAGTCGGCGTCGAGACGGTGGGCGTCAGCATCGGTACTTCTTCCGTAGGAACTCTACGTTACCGTTTAGATCACCGATAATTAAAAAAGAAATCGATCGACATCGCCTTATTATTTATGTATCTAATATTTAATCACGTTTCGAATTTACTGGACATGGCGCATGTTTCCTTCTCGTTATCGTAACGAATCACAATATTAAATCTCGCTCGTCTGCAATACAATAAAACTCCTATAACTCGTATAAACAAGTCGTGCAGCATTTTCAAGATTATTCTCATCATCAGGTTAATCCTGATCCTTTTCCATCAATAAATCTTCCTCTTTCCTCACCGACACGTCCGTACAACAAACACACACTCTGTCTGTCTCTCTCACTCTCTCGCTCTCATTTTCGCCTCCTTTCTTTCCATTCTAACAATAATTAGTTTCTGATAAATACTATTCAAGCTATGCCTACAAACTATTGCAGATAGAAACGTATTAGAAACGGTATAAAATGGACATGTTTCGTTCATTTTTTCCTGTTCCATTCAACAACTCTATGTTATATATGATAGATTCCTTTCTTCTATCTCTTCTGCCCTTTTTCTTAGCTTTCCCTTTTCCTAAGCATATAATGAATATTATTTATATCTGGTATACGCAATTTTTGAGAAGTACATCGTACAGTAAGGGGGTTTGGGAGAGTAAAAGTGCTAATATATAATACAAAGTGCTAATATTATAAATCGGGACAATCGAATTATGTGCTGCGTGTAACTGTTTTTAGGCTCGATCGCCCACCGGCTTGTTCAGTCTTTCTTGCGTCTCTAGCCTTCCTCTCAGCGTAGATTCAACCGTGACAATCCTGATGCTGACACACCCGGAGTCGTGTCCTTCATTCAATAGCGACACGGGACATCATCAAGCCTCGCCTGGTGAGCAAAACGCTACAACAAAATAAACGAGATTACTAAATAAATCATAATAGTCGAAAAGAGTAAAACACGCAATTACAATTATAACGATCCTATGTTATAAGATACTAAAATTAGTTATTAATTGTAGAATCAATGCAGTTTTATTAATATTGATAATATGAAATATCGTAATATAATACAAGATGAGATTAATAATGATCGTAAACATTTTATCTGGATTTTTTCCAAAATGTGCAACTTCACATCGAAATCGGCAATTTTTAAGTTTTAGAAATAAAAATAAAATTTTAAAAATATGTTAACATTACATTTTGAGCGTTATCTTACCCTAGACCGGTTCCAATGAGCAGAGAAAGAAGATTCGTGAAGAATAGAGTATAAATGACCTCCTTGGAAAACAATCCGTTCTTGCCAACTTTCGCGGTGCGGATGCTGTATGTTTTTCTCTTACTACCCAAGGGGTGTTTGAACTTCCAGTCTCTGAAACGAGAATGACATCATTAATCGTAAGTAAGAATCTTATTCCAATATTACTCGATGTGAAAAAGAAGTCTCTCAAGTTAAAATTAATCTTTTATAAAGTACAAAAACATGTACAGTTATTTTCCCATACTTGATACACTCGGTTCTGATAATAAAAAAATTGTAACACAATTAGTAAATGTAATTATTTAGATATTTAATTTACTAAAATCTCATTTATCATACTTTGGAGGTGCCTGGTCCGGTCGAGAGCTCCATTCGTAAATCCAGTCTGTGTTCTTCTCGAGAAGCTCGCCCTCCTGCGAAGTAAAACAAAGTACGTCTTGTTAAGAGGAGTAATCGGGTAATTATTTCACGGTTATCGTTCCGCGCAACGAAACAAGACAGACTCGAAATTAATCATTCCGGATACGAGAAGTTCGACGGGGTGGAATTAAAAGAAACGAGAAATTAATCGCGCGGAGCGCACTCTCTATATATCTATGAATGGTAATCGCGTCGCGTGGAAAAGTGAATGCTCAAGGATGACCTTTGGCGTTCCGCCAGCGTTGCGCATGTGTATCTATTATACTATACCGTATATCGAATCTGATATGCGCAGTATATCGCAAGTTGTGCGCATAAACGCCGGCTGTAAACAATACTCGAACGACAATCGCTCAAGAAGGTGTGAATTGATTGTGTAAAGAGGAAAGGGGGAACCAGGACGTGACGCGAGTTACTTAGAGCCTCCGTATCGAGGAGAGATTTAAATGTTTGATGAACTATTTCTTTCGGAACGAGAGATTTTTAGCGGGTTCTATTTCGAACTGGGTCATCGATTTAATACGCAATATGACAGAACAAGAACGCGCAAAGATAACTTATGAGTCACACGATTTGTATACACGCATAGAGTCCGTATCCTCGTGTTTACTTTCCGTTATACATAATCGAGTAATTACAGTATAATTCATTATCCGTTTATCCTTAAGGAAAAAGCGTCGAGAACTAAATGCTGAGGCACGATGGTTTAATGCCGATGTTCTCGAATTAAATCGGCCTTTTACGCGCACAAAGTTGAGCTTTGTACTACTATCTTCTTGCTTCTGTTAACGACGGACGAACTCAGAAACCGCCGGCCACAGATACAGCTTATTATGTATGCTATACAAGACAATGTCTAGTTATAAGAAGCAACAGATAAGCCCATCTTTTTAACGACGGTAACCGTGCGATCGTCTCTATATTTAGTTAGACAATAGCAATTTGCGTTTCGCTTGACTTGTCAATATGAATTGTGATTTATGCGAAAGGAATATTCCGTAATCAATAAATGTCAACTTATATCAATTAAATATCAATGATCATTAATATGAGCGTAGTCGAAAATCGAAGTTCATTCACTCTCCCCTCCTGCCCCTTCCCCTCTCTTTATTTCTTTTCACATCTTTGCTGTTTTATATTTCAAGCGAATATGACACCGTGTATTCTATGTAAGACGCCTTTCGCGGAGTGTTTCCGGAATGATATTTTTCAATTTATTTCTAATAAACGTGCTTCCATGTATCATTGTTCTTTGTGCCAATGTCAAATCGTTAGTATTTACGATCACGAAAAAATACTTTATCATTTCTAAGATAAAGTTTAATCCCTCAATGATTCACCCGTACTACCGACGCAAAGATTGCGCGTCAAGAAACGCACAATACAACTCGTAACTTCATCAGAATTATTATTCGTTCAATTATTGTACGACGATAATTCAGCTAACAGAACAGCAGCGATCAGAAGGTGAATTGTTAACTCGGATTGCTGCGGGTCGCCGTATCGTTTTCGCATTTCGATCAGGAGCATGCGAAGCACCGGTGTATTGAGGAAACATTTTCGCGTATAAATTCATCGAGGTCCAATGTTATATCAAGAGAGATAAACCCACGAAGATAACTCCAATAATTCGAACATTCGCCGCCGCGAGTTCTTCAATCGACGATAATTATTTCGAGCGTATGTACATCTGCTCGACACTTGCGACTCTAATGGATTGATTATTTGTTTAAAAATCTGCAGATCATATGCTAAAGTATGTAAATTACGAATTAAAATTTATAAATATACAATTGCATATCGTGCACTTAATGAATATACATATAATTTAATATATAAATTAAAATATAATAATATAATATTAATAAAATAAAATATAAATATATATAAATTAAACAATATGTAATTCAAATTAAATTTTTTTTATAAATATACAATTGTATATTGTGCGCTTAATTATCTCAAAACTTTATCGTGACTTTTAATGGACTTTTCATAGGAAAAACCAACGGTCGCCTTTCGTGCGGTAATTACGTCGCGTATGTGGTGCACGCAACCATAACGCAACAAACGCACGAAAAACTCGAATCGATACACATACTCGCGTGTGGAGGCTTTTTATGTGTCGTCGGTTTCCTTAATCCATGTACGTATCACGGTTCTCGATTACGAGAAGCGTTGCGGCGCGCGTCGATCGATCGTGAAAAGCCGCATGTCATCGTTATAACGTTTGGTTCTGCGTTTTAATATTATAAATAATTTGTACGGCTGCATTTATTCTTCATTGCCTGCCTTAGATCCCTTGGGTCGCGCGTGTCCATTATACACCGTCAGAACGACACGCTGGAAGTGCAATGCAATATAAAATTGAAATGCAATCCAACATCTATAATAGGAGACGTCTGGGTCTCATTGTAAAGTAAATTGCAATTTCCCGTTCCCGTCTTAGTTAATTCAACAATTATTAACAAAATGTATACTTTACTCAAATTAAAGATTAATTTATCGTTGAAATGTATTACTATTTTATTTATTAGGAACTTTTGAACTGACTATGTATCCGAAATGTTTTCATTTTATATTCTCTTAAATAATAAAAAGTTAATAATGCACCTGATATTATTTTAATATCAAATTGTTCGTATTTCATCGTTTCTATTTGGCATTTTGTCGTGCAAACTAACGAACTTACTATTCCTTTTTATTTTATTTATATTATACATCTGTGTCGCACAATTATTTTTCAACTCACTACAGGCTGTTCTTTTTCTTTAAGTTTTCTAGAAAATACGCGAAGAATGAGTTTCCTGTCAACAACAGTAAAAAGGAAGAAACGCGAATGCGAAAGGAGCAGATGTTCCGGACTACGATTGCGAAATACGATGCAACATGAAATCCTGAGGATTTATTCTTGTTCTTATCTTTATCCTATCTTTTCCCGTTTTTCCTTATCTTAGTTCAATAACGTTTCTCTAAACGCGAAACTTTAACCAGACTTGCAATATAATTTTTTAAACGGTTTAAAACAATGTTTAATGCGCGTATTAACTATATATTATATAATTTTTAATTAATGCAATCGACGACGATCAAATCGATGAACGTTACAGTACAGCAGTAAAGTTCCTGCTTGGACTTAACTACGGAACGTTTTCTTTCACCCATGGTAGTAACATCGGAGTTAAATTTAAATGCCCGATTGATCCGAATCCGCGACACGCCTCTCACGTTAATTACGCCGTCGGTTTCTTTTGCGGCGCGAAGTCGGGGAAAGTCAACAGAGCGTCGTCGAGCGTAGGATCGAAAACGTTGGCGCAGCGTCCGAAAGGAGAATGGATTCACACGACGGCGCCGACGTCGTGCATGGCGTGAGCTCGGCACGACCGGCTATTGGCCAGTCGATACTACGACGTTCCTGAGAGTGCCTCCACGCGTGCTGTCCCGACCCCGCTTTTCTTCCCGCCGCCGACGACGACGACGACGACGAGTAGGGGTCCACGACGTAGGAAGCGCAGTGGCCGCGAAATGCACCGATTTGAAAGGCGACAAAGCCGGCGACGCGACGCCTCATTAACGATACCATAAATGAGGTGCCCCTGAAATCGTTTAATGTCATACTTTTTTCCCAACTGTATGAATTCTTCGACAAATCTGGATCCAACGAGAGCGAACAAACGCGAATGAACTCACCTCGCTATTTGGGTTACCACAACTGAATATTTAGAGAATTCAGTCTTTTATTAAAAACTTTTTTTCAGTAATATCAATTTAACTAACGATTACACTCGATACTCAAAATAAATGGTGCTACAAAATTTTTTTCTCTATTTTGTTTAACCGCATATTTATTATCAGCATTATTTTTACAGCTGCAATTAATTATAAAAAATTAAATAATTAATATTTAAATTTTTCATCACAATTAAAACAAAATGTTAATAAAGCAAAATTGAATTCTCTAAATATTCAGCTCTTTCTGAAAAGGAGAACTTCCGAGATAAAAAGGCACTTTCTCTTTTCAAAATTTCTATTTATAATCGCGACGCAATGGAGAACGCAGATCGTGATACTTCCCGTGCAATTAACCATTACATTAAACAATAGTCGAGAACCGTCGTTCCACCACCACGAGCGCTTTCGCGCGTTTATTCGCAGCAACCCATATTGGAGAATGTAAGAATATGTTCCCGAAGTGGATGCAGGTCCGAATAGTTCCTACCAGGCTGCCAGACGCACCGTGCGTCGATTGCACACGCATAAACAACGGACGGAAGTTTAAATAAACGAATCGCCACCCACGCGAACGTTCGGGAACGCGGCGCGTGTTTCACGAAAAATTCAAGGAAAGATATTGCATTGTACACATTTAACCGACACTTCTTCGCCGTGACGTTGCATGCGTGCAACGTGTGCAACGGGCGTAAAACGCAGTGGCGGCTATCAATTTTCACGTTACGCTGAAGAACGTCGCGATCGCGACGTCACGACGCGATCGGTCCTCAATGCCGCATCATTCAATGGCACGTCGCGGCAATCGTATCTCCATTGAACCGTCACTCTATTCGAGCGGCTACATTGCGCTGGCGTTCAATAAAGTTTAACTTACGTCATAGTAACAGCGCCGCGAAGACAATCTATTACTCCAGATTATGCAATCACTGCTTTCCCCCGGTTTGGAGAGCGTTTTGCGAGGAAGTAATGAAGGCGTTGCCTTTCAGTAGCCAGAAATCATTCGATGGGTCGCAAGAATTACCACGGAAATGGCAGGATTTGTTATAATAAATAAACCAATAAATGAATTCTCCGAATTTTAGAAGAATTTACGGAACGTCAGAAGATTCGTTCAAGAAGATTTATTCAGCGTTAATTTGAATCTCCGCAAAGATAATTTCGACCAAATTAAAATTGCGAATTTAATTTAATTTTCACGCTGAATAACAGTAATAATAAATTAAAAATTAATCTTACATTTTACAGTTCCCCCTCTTTCTCT